TCTTTTTTTTGGCCTAAATAGGTTTTACACGGAAGTCCGCTATTTTCAAGTTATGTGAAGGCATCCGTAGTCCTTAGATTCATCCCAGAACAGCAGTTGGCCCAAACTTTTCAACGCACCTGTCTAAAATATTATACTTTGTCTACTACGCATTGTTCAAACATGTGCTTCGAAGAGACGCTGAATAATCATGGGTAGCAAATAAATTAAACGTTGCTACACATCACATCCCTAGGCATCACCATTACCCTTAGAAAATGGAAGCTTTAGGGTCGCCATCTTCGGGTACCGGAAACAGTGCCATTCCGCCTCACTCAGAACATCCTCCATGCGCTGGGACCCTACGCAAGTTGAGGTATGTTCCTTGAATTGTAACTGGTAATGAAGTACTGGCGTCGAAAGCAGTCTGTTTTCTAGGGAGTGTTTCGAGAATCGTGCTCACAAGTGTTGTCGACATTACGGGAAGGACGTGAAGTGCTGCTCACGATGTTGGACGCCTTCGTGTACGACCCGCTTGTGGATTGGGCTGTGTCTGATCATCTGACTGCGTCTTCAGCCGCTGTAGGAGTGGCCGTCACTTTGGCCGTATATGGTATGTTCTCCAACTTATTGGCTTCTTCTGTCTTGCCTTTTTTCTCTCGAATATTATTATTTCAGGAACGGATTCGAGAGCGGTTGAAGCGAAACCAGTTGCAAGGGAAATGTTTGGTGTACGAATACGCGAGAACACTTCACTGTGGACAAAGAATTTGTAGGTTTCACATGATTTTCAGCGGTTCTTTTCTACTGGCATAACTTCTGGGTTTCTTTTATGTCGAACGCTGTTTGACACCTTTCATTACAGCACAGAACTCCAGTCTGCGCTAGCAAGTGTTACCGATGTGCTGCAGCGTGAAAATGCATCACCCGAAAATAATGCGTGGAACAGCAGAGAGATCTTGGGACAGGTATCAAATTCGTTTTGTTTCGAGTGTTTTCCCTTTAAGAATGCAAGCTGTGAAGACATGAGTGGCGTTAGTTAGTTCATCATTTCTACGATTATTTTGCTCCATTCCATTTCACAGATGGAGCCTCTGAGATTGACTAAATAATATGGTTCGCTTGAGGAAGCAGTGAAACGAACCATCTTTTTTTTCAGACAATTTTGTTTACCTGTTTACAAGTTTTTTCTTTCTCAGTAGTGTAATCACTTTTCGATGTCAATCGTGACTTCCTGAAGAGTAATTGGCCATTTTCAAGTTATTTTTCCATGTTTCATATAGGCGAATTTGGTATAGCGAGGCTTCTCCTTCAACCCGTTTTCGTAGATTTTCCAATATTGCCTACATTATTCTTGCTGAAAGGCTGCATTCTAGGAAAGAGTGGAGGCTGGCCGTCGTCTGAAAGCTTCAATTGCACGCCACCACCACATAATGAAAGACTTCCGTCCGCTTCTCAAAGCGTTAGCTACGGTATGCTTATGATTAATGTGTCACTATAACTACTGGGTTGTTTTTACTCCGCCGGTCGTTGCTGTACGAATATTGATTGTTTTTCTACTTTTGTACCTATATCGTGCTTTTACTACAACATTTGCAGTGTGATGAACGTTTTTCGGCGTACATTCGTACATATCGTGAACGTTTCTCTGAACCATTGGTAAAAGCGCATCAACTTTTGGACGCTGACTCGCTCGATCTGAATGCCTGTCTTCGTCATTTCGCTGTTGTGCAGAATAACATTTGCGAGTAAGTGTTTCTTTCATTCATTATTGATACTTACTTATACTCCCTTTCAAAAAACGAGAAGAGCGTCGGGTGCAGACCATACACCACAAGTGACGACGGCCTCCACAAAATGTAAATGTTTTCTGCCAATGAAATGATTAGCCTGTTGCAGTTGTATTCTATCAGTTGTCACTAATTACAACTATCATTTACCAAAAATCAGCTATCACTATGAACCACTACTAACCAGATTTACTTGGAGGCCGTCGTCACTTGTGGTGTATGGTCTGCACCCGACGCTTTCTCGTTTTTTGAAGGGAGGGTACTTAGCCGCCCTTCTGTCGCCGTGGTGGTTGGCCTTGCGCGGGTCCCAACTTTTCTTCCATTGTTCTCATTTTAGCCTTAGTTGTCCAGATCTTTTACCCAGATGTCTATATCATCTTGTTCTTTCGTTTTTAAATAGCTAGCTTTTTAGTATCTATCTCGGACTCCTTTCTCTGAATGAGTCCACACAGTCTACTCGACTGTTGTCGCCATCGACCGACTCACGTAACATTCCGAAAAGTGAGACGCCGGAGCTGCCTCCTGGCTTTGAAGGTGACGTCACCGTCGATTTTGAGTTATTTTTGTCTAAATATTCCATATTCTTTTTTAGATCCTCGTCCACATCACAAACAACAACAGGAACAAAATGCTCACGCGAGTAGTGTCGTGAGAAGAGTTCGAGCGCGTCTTGAAGGCCGGACTGATTCCTCGGACCCACAGAAGGTTGTCAGTCCAAGCGAACAGGTGCGTACATATGCTCCCATAAGTTGGTTTCCAACGTTTTGGCATTCCTCTTGTGCTGAGTCTGGAGCAGGGTGAATAACGGTCGAGGAAATCCTCGACCATAGCTCTCTACCATGCGAGAGTAGTGCCGAGAGTGAACATCCGCGCGGAGAGCACAGACGGCACGGCATGGCGAGTGTGAATGTCCGCGCGAGAGATCGTCTCTGATCGGGCAGAGAATCCTCGACGTGCCGTTGAGGAATCCTCAAGCGATATTCACCCTGGTCTGGATTCTGGGTATTTTTCTTCTCAGTCCCCTTTGAATCTTAAGGCATTGCGAAAAAATATTCTTCGATTGAAGTTCCCTTTATACAGTACTTCCTATTTTGTAGAAAACTGGATTTTTTTTTGATGAGATTTGCTATCAAATTATGGAATGGATTTTTCTTTAGAGTGCCTCCTTTTATGGTTTCCATATCAAATGAAAACTCCGTTCTTCAGGTGGATATACTTATTAGCCAAGCAACAAACGCCAATCTCCTCGCGCTGATGTACGAGGGATGGACGGCTTGGGTGTGACATCACGCGTGATCTTGGGATGTGTGTAATGGTAAGAAAATTGTTTGTCTACTCCTAAATATTATCTTCGGCTTGAATTGTTTCGGTATTGCTCTGGCTCGAAGATCTCAAGTTGCCGATCAATGCTTCAATAAGATTTTAGAAGGAATTCAAAGGCACTTCTCGCGATAGCAAGTTAGGGTCTGATGGGCGTCCCTTTAGAGAAGAAAAGCAAAACAAAGTACCGCAAAAAGTGGAAATACGGCATTCTTCAGGCGTTATAGAGATTGGAGGACGTATGGAGATGCGTGGAAGAAAATGCGCGTTAGTACGAGAGATTTTAATGAAGACGAGATGAAATAGAATGGAGCATGGGATTTCTTTTATACCAATCTTTTATGAATGGGATCTTTTTTTGGATGGCCTTACTAAAAAGATTCTGCTGTAGCTAAATA